TTCGATTAGAGCTCTCCCTCGGCGTTTGCACCAAGGGCTCACGTTTGAGGTACGAAATATGAGTCAGAAAAATGAAGCACCTAGTGTCTGTCCAGCATGATGTTTCGCTGATGCGATAGAACGAACTCCCTTGTAAGTATGACAGATAATAGGATGGGGGACAGGTTGACTGAAAACGTAAACCATGCTATGGGAGTGAAATAGATTCAAAACACGTTACATTATCATCATGTTACTCTGTTTTCGTTCATAACTATTTCCATCGTGTGGATTGTTGAGAAGTTCCGTGCTTCAGGCAGGCAATAAAATTGTCTGATTTCAACTTATAGGCTAATAGTATATTTCTTTCCACTCAAGATTCATCCACAATACTACAATCTCAATTATTCCAACTGATTAACCAGCCTGTTAACTGAAACAGTCTAGTTTTCGTTGTGCTCCATTTGAGTTTCGTGTTTGAACTAGTCAAGATGCCGTTGACTGCAGTGACTGCCGTCATCATCTGTTGCCTCTGATTGGGTATCGTGTGCTTATCAACCTTTTCTGTCTCATGTTTGTTAAGCGATTACCCACTACCTACTCCGTGACGTCAGTCTAAACGTGTAGAGAAATTCTGATCTGCATCGTTTTCAGCATCAGCTGCAGTTGCGTACCTCAGCTGCAGTCTCTGACTATGGACAAACCAGCTTGAGTAATAAGTTTGAAAACCTTTACGCGTACTTGTTGTGAGATCCCGTGACCGGACTACGGTGATACGCATCCAGTATTGTGTTTTTCTGTGCTACTGGCTTCTGTTGCTCGTGCAAATTCGTAGGTACTACGGATGGGAGATTTCTTTCTTTTCACCAACGCGCACTACGAATGAAATCCGGACTGTTCGGTAATTTAAATACGGTCATAACACAAACGAGCTTTTCGCAGCGTCGTCTGCTTTCCGTTAATCATTTGTCGCTTTCCGGTTCATTGTAGGCATCCAATGACCCCAACTACCAACAGGACCGAATCAGTGTCGGACGTCAATCGATTGATGATGATCGATCTAGCGTTCAATCTCTCACTGTGGCGCGTATGCTCGACTCAGTACGGTTTGATGAGACCACTCCGAAGCCAGAACTGATTCGTTTGCTAAACAAATTTCGCTACCTGATACAAGTTGAACACGAGGCATTAAAAAACGAACAGAGCACTTCTTCTCGTTTGCAGTCTGAACTGGAAGCAATCCAACGGCAATCCGGTCATTCGTCGTCCGTTTCTGAGGGTTCACTCAATGGTGCACTCCCACAGGTACGTCAGGTATCTTCTTTTCGCCCGTTTTATTTCATCTGCTCCCCCTGCATTCCTGACTCTCATTTTATCGTTTCGAATTTGCTTTTAGCCGTCATTGACTGCGGGTTCCAAAGCTGCACGGTCTCCATCACCCACCGGATTTCCCACACCGGAAGCTGCCACTTGTGATTTATCCCTCGACCAAACAGACCACGCACGTGTCGATGGTCCCGTTGTTACCACGCCAGTTTCCAGTTCAGTTTTAAAATCAACTACAGCTGCACAAAATGATTCCTCCACTTTGTTGACAAACGGGTTGCATTCGAATGACTCCACAGATGCGAGCTCTATCGCGCCATAAGTTAAGAGCACTCAATCCCCGACCGAGTTGGACTCTCTTTCAATTCATTCTTGTGCACGGGATTTCTCCCCATTTTCACATCCGCATTGTTGCCATCGCCGTGTCTCACACCTTTCCTCATCTCCAATGAAAAGTTTCTTATATGGTTTCTGTCCAAACCATCACTTTTTCACAACTCCTGTTTGGTTCGTGTGAACATCTAGGTTTGTCGGTCCGCTTTTGCGGTACTCAACTGCAAGTTATTGTCCCGGTATGACCTCTCTATCCCCGTTTTTCTTTTCTGTTTGTCTGTCTACTTCCCCAGTTCTCGTGCCACAACATTTCCTTCTTTGTTGTGGTTCATTTTGGTGATGAGAACTTCTGGTCTGGAGTTTCCCAATTGTTTATGCCTCCAGCGCGCTCCGTTCGGTTTCCTTTACTGATCATTGGATACCTTTGTCTAATTCGTATAGGCTTATTAGGATGATACTTCTGTGACCAGCGCGCGCCATCGCTGCCACCACCACTGTTCCAATCGAAGACATTGCACGCAGTGCTTGTTCATTTGTTCAGGTTTCGTGGTTGATGGCATCTAATCTAAATCTGTGTATATATACGGTCGTTCGTCGAGTTTCAATTTGGTCCGCCCTCTTGTTTACTTCCTTGCCAGTTTCCGGCTTGTTCTTGCTTTGTGGCCGTGTTTCCATGAATCACTTCAAACGTGTCGTCTGATTTGTAACAGTTACGGCGAACCACTTGCTTTGTTACACAGGCACCTCGGTTTGACTGCCTTTACATTTTTCATGCGCTGGGCCTGCACAAATATTGTGCACGGTATTACTCAGCCAATATGTGCCTTGTTTATTGACCGACCAACCGGGTTGCTCATTCCGTTCGGTTCTCCTTGAACCAACTTTGGTCTGGTGCATTCACTGTGCCGAGAAAGTTCATTTTCCCAGTTCTACCCTCAACATTCAATCTTCTTCTGTCAACATCTTTCTTTCTGTGACTTTATCTCGGGTTTTCGCACCCTCGTACCTATTGTGCCGCACCCGTTCTCTCCCTTCTCTTCTCAAACATGGCCCACGAACTCCACCACCATTCTAAAAGGTGATTTGGTTTTTTCTAATCTCTTGATCTTCACGTACTCTGTCGCTCGTAGTCTTTCTCTGTTTTTCCCTAGCTTGTCGCATGCGGCACTTCTGTTTACGCCCCCCCCTGCCCTGACCACACCCCGCATCGATTGTGCAAATGACCAAGTGTATCGTTGTCTGGTTGACTTTGTTCGCATCGGTGCATGTGTGCTGCTCGACCAATTTTGTTTGTCTGTCTGTTTGACCAATCATTCGAACGGTGTGCCAGTTGATTGCAATACAACCCAAGAGTTGTCAAGGCAAAAGATAAAAATCATGCCTCATATTGTTCAGATTTGTTTATTTTTTACCCATAGTGTGTGAAATCAGGTCTTCCGAAAGGATGCAACGAAATGGTTCCTCCAGGTGACATGAACAGCGCCTGTGGCTTATCCTTAGTATCGCATTTTGGACCCATTTCTATCCCAGTTACCACCACGGATGCATACTGCTGTTTTCTCATCGCTATTCATTCAGTCACTTTGGGTCGGTGTTCGATGCGTTTATTTCAGCGTGGAGATTGGGTAAATTGCTAACCGGACTTGTTCTCATGTTAGGAGCCTTAACCAATTGTTCCTGATCAGTCGGACCGTTTGAATTGGCATGAAAGCTACACCATATAGGTCAAATATAATCAACGGGTTCGCGGTGGAATCGACTTGCAAACGTTGTCAACTTCCTAGTTATCTAGGGTGCGCTCAATGTTGCTCTGATTTCCAATACTTTGAGATTCATGACATCCCAGAAAACGGTGCGAGAACATTGTTACAGATCTATGTTCCAAGATGGTTACCGTGATCCCCAAGTGCTGGTAAAGCACGGTGTTCCTTGCCTATCGAGGCTGTCTTGAAAAATGTATTTGTGAGTTCAGCGACGAGGAAACTTGAGGAAATAATACTCAGAATTATTCTCAGTACTGTTCAGCCTTTCTCTTTCAAGGGTATGCATTCATTCCTTTCTCAGTCAAGTTTTATGTACCGGCGCATGTCACGATACTGTTATTGGGCCCCGTTTCAGCTTGCCTGTCGAGCTGTTTACCGAGGTGTAGCCACTGACACAGGCATGCTTATTTCAGTCTTAAGTGCGGGCAGACAGTGATGGAGACCAAATTAATGCGTCGCATTGCAAGAGAATAATCTACCAACTGTGAGGTCCTACTGCTATCAAGTAGCCCGATTACCTGATCACAAATGGCCCGATTTCACCCATTGATTGATCAGATGTGTGTGAATACACTGACCCCAGACTTCACTAACTTCGAAAGGCTTTTTTGTTCAGGGTCGGTGAATTGATGATGGACCTGCTGATGTGTCTTTTTTTCGCCTAAAGCAAACTATCGATCTCTGTGTGTGTGCTTGATCGTGAACCGGTAGGTTGACTTGGCCAACGGTCGCAGATNCGCAGATCTACAGGTTCAGTTCACTGCAAAACTTGACACGGGTGCGTTTTGCGAAAGGCGCATAACCAGCGAATCCATCTTGTCACATTCATAGGACTAGCATAATGAGGGGACTGCATGAAGCTAACTGGTTCTTGAATTAGGAATATCGTCGAAAACATTGTGCTTTCTGCTACCATACTTTCCAGCGCTGTGACACTACTTGGGGTTTGCGGATCTGTTCAACTGTTTTTTTTTAATTTGTGTTGAATTTCGTCTTGTGAACGGCAATTGGAGTGTGAACTGAAAGCTAGGAAGCAGTAGATAGCTGCTTCGACCCAGTTGGGTCTCATCAGTAGTGC